AGTTTTTAAGAGTTTTAAGAGTTTTAAAAGTTTTTAAGAGTTTTTAAGAGTTTTAGTCAAATGCTTTATAATATAGTATAGATAAGGGCCTAATCAAACGAGAACTAATTAGTTTGTGGTAACCGTGARGTCCAATCTCAACCACAAATCAATAGATAAATTAGGAAATTTATAATTTTGGTATTTTTGTTAAATTAAAATTTTAATGCAAGGGTATTTTAGGTATTATCTCTCCACTCTCCTATCTCCTCTCTTCTCTCTCCGTCCCCCGGCCCCCGGCCACCGGTATTTTGTGTCTGTATTAATTTCTGACCGCACGGAATCTCCATAGCCAATTTTCCATTTTTTATTATGAAATCAGAAGGTCTTGCCTTTGGTACTACTCTTATTTTACACGATCCAGGAACTTCCATAACGTTGGCGTGATTCGGTTTGAGCAACGGATCCTGACGTGATACATCTTCGTCAAGGACATTTTAGGTATTTTCTCTCTTCTCTCCTCTCTCCGGCCACCGTCCTCCGGTGATACTATAGTAGTATCACAATGCATCATATATATGATTGGGTATCACACTGTGGTTGTTTGTGCGGTCGATCGGATATGTAACACAGTGGTATCACAATGCATCTTATATGTGCTTGAGTATCACACTATGGTATCACCGCATGATGGTGGCCGGAGGCCGGAGGGCGGTGGCCGCAGAGAGGAGAGAAGAGAGAGAATACCTAAAATGTCCTTGACGAAGATGTATCACGTCAGGATCCGTTGCTCAAACCGAATCACGCCAACGTTATGGAAGTTCCTGGATCGTGTAAAATAAGAGTAGTACCAAAGGCAGCACCTTCTGATTTCATAATAAAAAATRGAAAATTGGCTATGGAGATTCCGTGCGGTCAGAAATTAATACAGACACAAAGGGCTTCGACAGGAAAGTCGTTTCGATCCAATCCATTCTTGGGGTCAAATAAAGACAAAAAAGGATATGTCAGTGACCTAGCACGGCAAAGCACTCTCCRAGGGCATGGAATGTCTCATTTTTTGGTAAGATTCTCCACAGTAATGTCTTAGTTAGATTTTCCGCTCGAAATACGGGAAAAGTCCATTCAATTCTTGATGGAAATGGAGTTTTGCGAATTCTCCCCGGAACTGGAAAATCATTTCTAGACGGCCATCTCAAGGCACATCACGACCTACACGCAACGCTGGTGAGCCCGATTGGGAGTCAGAGGATCCATAGTACCTGCAGCCTCCCGGACTTCATATTCATCATTTTTGAAAGCAGGGGGAAGGGATCTTTTTCTGCAATGGAAAAAAAGGAGCAGATTTGACTCGGCACAACCTAACGATACATCCAATACCACTGATTTGTGCTTAGAATGCGTTGCTAGATCTCTACTCTAGAAAGCTATACAGG